TTACCTTCGCCAAGAAGGTTATGTTTTCAGTAGCGTCTGTCTGTTTGTTTGTATGTCTTACAGCTTTATATGCATTGTCTTGAACTTCAAAGTTGGTGGGTGGGTAGACCTTGATGAGACCTAGAAATGATTAGATTTTGCCCCCCCCCCGACTTTTGTTGGTACTGCAGCAGAGCTTCGCCTTTTGATATCTCATGATCTGGACATGCTAGGTTCATGAATTTTCAATGGTAAATAGCTCTTGGGCTAGTGACTAAGTTTGGACCCACTAGCGACCTGTTCTGGAACTGCAGGAGCGTTTGTTGAAAAATCTTTGAAGGAGGATAACTCAAGAATCAGTTAACGGATTTTCGTGAGTTTTGGTTTGTTGGTAGCTGAAGTAATGCTTGACATAATCAGTTGACAATTATGCAAATTAGGAGCTAACTTACATAATCAATGAAAAAATTCTACAGATCTGGTTTGTTCATCAATAGGACTATGAAACACTTGTGACATGTAATCGAGATCAAGAGAAACATCTGAGGATAATGGATAATGGAAATGAAAACCTAATTTGCATAATTCATGTCAAAATGTTATAATTTCTTAGTTTTAACTGCTGGGAATTTCATACTTCAAACAAGTTAAGAAGTTAAATGAAGGTGAACATAAAAAATAAGTTATTCAAATTATGACCTCATTTGCATAATGTATAAAGAAGTGCTAGAGTAGACTTTTTTGTAAAGATAAGGCTGTCATTGGGTGGAGAATACGATTAACTGATATAATCCATACAAATGAGGCTCTTATTTTCAAAACCAATGATTCAAATTGTACAATTCGTCAACCAGAAGGGTTAACATCATTTGGCGAAGGTATGAGGACGTGGATCTCTTGTTAAGAATCGGTCCATTGTTACCTCAATGGAAATTGTAGGTATTGTTTTTGTTCTGTCTGTTGGTGTGTGTATGTGTTTCCATATTATTGTCGCCAGAATATTTGAAGACCTGGATGAATTGTTATGCCATTGCTATGTGGGCAAGTTTTCTAAAGACGATCCTTGAAATTTGGGCTAGCTGTCTTTGGTACTGCAGAGTAGAACTTACAGTTTTTTTTAATTTTTGTTCGTGACATACTTAAAAAAACTTTATAAGGTACTGTATTACTACATTATGTTACCATATTTAGTTCAATTCAAAATTTCCAATTCTTTCACACAGGACGTGATTATTTAGTCAACCGCAGAAGATGCACTCCTGAACTCACCACTCCTCGGATATCTGGGTATTACCATCAGGGCGTTTGGAACTCTCTCGTCTGCAAGAACAGACATTTCTCTCAGATATCGGAGTGGCGACAATGTCTGAAGGGGAAAAACCTTCATTTCTTCGGTGACTCTACGATACGGCAGTGGTAGGAACACTTGGTAAGAATCATGAATTTGACAGAAACGCAAATTCCGGAAGCTATATCCTGGACTGGACCATTATTTGCCAGTGATCCTGTTTATAACATAACGGTTAGCTTCCGGATCCACGGACCGCCGTATAGATGTCATTGGACTCGCACGTCTCTTATCAAGTACGTCGCAAACGCAATTGATGAAATTAAAGGAGGACCGAACGATGTGGTCGGCATCACCATGTGGGCACATTTCACCTCGTACCCTGTGGAGGTCTACATAAAAAGGATGGAGGCCGTCCGTGCTGCAGTAGAACGTCTGTTTCGCAGAAGTCCAGAAACACTTGTAGTCATCAAGTCGGCAAACACGCGGGAGGGAGACACGATCATTGCCGGGGACTGGCACGCGTACAAACTGGACTTGGTGATGAGGGAAGTGTTCCGCGGGATGAACGTTGTTCTTGTAGATGCCTGGGAAATGACAAACGCGCAGCACTGGCACAAGGACGTCATCCACCCTGCCGGGGATATCGTTACACAGGAGTTAGAGTATTTCTGTTCATTCATTTGTCCCTTGTGAATTCTTGGAGAATTTTTTTATTGTTGGAACAACGGCCGTAGGTTCTTTTATTCTAATCTAGTTTTGCAAGGTGGTCTTTTTAAATAAAAGCATTTTCCTTAACAGTATCAAGAAAAAAACAAGAATCATCTTCCGTAAATAATTTCATCAGGCTGGAAGATACTTAGGGTATAGAATTTGGAAGACCTGAGGAGTCTGATAGACATCAAAACGTAAGCAGGTGAGAACCTTACTGGTTGTGTAAGAAGAAAATTCTATACCCTAAGAATCATCTTGCTTAAACTTTTTAGATGACGATAAATATGAAAATTGAGAAAATAATCTTCTTAAACAGTATCAAGAAAAACAAGAATCATCTTGCTCAAACGTTATAGATGAGGAAAAACAAGAAAATTGAGAAAATAAGATTTGTATCTTCTTAAAAAGTATCAGGAAAAACAAGAACCATATTTCTTAAACTTTTTAAAATTAAAAAATACAAATATTCTTGTCGGGGAGCATGATACTATAAATATTTTCTTTCCGTAAGAAACAATGAGAATATTTTTTGTGTGTAAGAATCAAGATACAAAAACGTCTTGAATTTTATGGAATGTCCCCTTCACAAGGAAATCTTTCTCATTAAGAAAATAAGAAAAATAAGAAAATCATTTGGTAGTGTTCAAAGTTTGTTTTACCTCTATATACATACACATGTGTACCTGAGAGTGAAAACCTGTTGGTGACCGCTTTGGTTGGTCTTTAACTAATCATAAAAAATGAACATTATATAATAAATAGAAACTTTCGCCGAATGATTAACATTTACGATTTGACCTTCCTTTTTCTTAACCCTACTTATCTTAAATTATCCAGTGTCTCACTACAGACGGACTTAAACAAGAGAAATAAATATTGACCCTCTCTAACATACGATCATTGACACATTGCCAATCGGAAAATTGTTCGGGGGTTCAAGTCGGTGGAAGGTCCTGAATGTGTGTAATGCGGATTTAAATAGTTCTAGTCGGAGTGATAAATGACGCGTTAGTCGCAGGGTGGCTTTCTGGCGCCTGGCCCAGCGAGGGTCATGGATATGGTAAACCCCAAGCAGATGTAAGGATCCAGCTCACTCGTAGTCGTCTGACCAAGGGGCATTTTTGGCAACATTTGGTTTTCGCAATACTAGGAAGGCTATCAAGAAGTTGCAAAAACATGTAACTTTCCAAAAGACGGGCGACGCCTTAAACTCTCTGCAACTTATGATCCACCTCTAGCGAGTCACATGTCTTGATACAATGTTCTTTCCATCAATTTGTGTTGAATATAGCAGTGAACAGCAAGGTACCAGTAGTATTCAATGATGCTCGGTACGTCAAAAGTTAAGGTTTTGTTGCAATAAATAATTTGCGTGTACGTATATGAGTTGTCTGTGTTGCTTAAAGCTCAATACAAAGCATTATGATTTTATTTTGTTTTAACCTACAAGTAATACTTTAAACTGTTAAACATTTGCCAGTAAAAGTTCTTACGTGGTGCATATTGATTGACTGGAATTTTGTTTCAAGAGTTTAAAAAAAAAACTCAGGTGAATGTGGTCTTCAGATTTCAAGAGTTTCATAGACAAGGAACCAAACTGTTTCATTTCAGTGAATCGAAGCTCAAGAGGTTGTGTTAAAATTCCTCATAATGTTTAATTATTTTTCGTAAACCCAAAAGTGTACGGAATGTCTGAGCTCTGTTAAGCTGAGATGTAAATAGGACAGTATATCGACAAACCCACCAATGATCTGTATCTGTATCTGTATAGCCGGTATAACCGCATTTGGCGTAACAAACCATCTTCCAAGGCAAGCGGCGCGGCGGCAGCTGGCTACATATCAAACCCCCATACATACCCTCTGGGTCCCAATAGGTTAGTCCTGCATGGTAGCCTGGTGAGGTGGCCCGCCCCACCTTTTCCGGAAACCCTGTTTGGCTCATAGCCATCTCATGATCTCAATGTTAACCACGGCTCATTTACATATCAAAGGTTTCACTCACAACAAGCTGCGGCAAAAGACCAGCAGCCATTATTTCATGCATTTTTGAACTGAACTATCTCTTTTGTTGTTTGATTTGTGTCCCAAAGGTACGTATATACTGACTGCAAAAATTCTAGATCTCTATGTAAGGTTTGCGACGTCACGTATAGACATCATTTAGCACAGCCATTCTTGTTTACACTTGAAAGAATATGTTGTCATGGTTGGTACCTGTTTGGAAAGACCAGAGCTGTTTTCCCCACTTAAAGACAGACAAAAGCTTTCTGTCACTAAATGCTTCATCTGGTAGTCCACTACGATGCTTTACCCTGTGAAGTTACTAAAATTTGGTTCAGAAATTTTTTTTTTTTTGTTTTGGTGGAAAGGTACACACACGTACGTTGAGGGTACATTGTAACGGTTGGGGTTAACTGTGGTCATGGACGTGACCAGAATATCAATTTTGTGAGAACGATGTAAACATTGCCTCCTCTGCAGACCCCTAAGATTCGGCGTAAGTTTTTTTTTTATTGTGCGGGTGCTGAAGGTACTGTTAGGCCACGCCAAGTAAATTTTATGGATGACGTCCTTTGGAGACCCTAAATCTAATGCGAGAGGGCGAAAAAAAACAAGAAGGGCCCTAAAAAACAATATGCCTAGATTAGAAATATACTAAGTGACGACAAATGTTAGGACATAAATTGAATGAGGTGACACAGTGTAACAAGCAAGAAGTCTTTTATTCATCATCAAAACAGCAATAAATCAGGTGGAATAGTGGACAGTGAAAAATTTTCTGATATTGACAGGATGGTCCTGTCAATAGACACTTTCTTCGCGTTACGTACGGGTTTCACGTCAATTTTATCGCTGTTCAACCCATTGAATGACCTTTCCTTTATAGAATCACTGTTCGGATCAGTAATTTTAGGTTCCACCCAAGAATACGTCACCTAATTTAGCCTAGAAAACAGACCTTTGGGGTGTTTTTTTTAGCTTATCATGAGTTGTTTTCTCGTTTTATATCACTTTTTCTGGTGGCCTTTTAGGCTAGATGGCTGTTAAAACTGTGGTACAATCAGGACGAATATACAATCAGAAAACAGCACAGGTTAAGCCAAAAAAAGGCCGGCCAAGAAGCCTGCGTGCAGAGGCTATAAAGGTCTTGGGCGGTCCCGATGTCTCGGCTAGTCAGTCTTACTCTGATCGTCGGCAGGGTAGGACGTGGTTTCAGGTAAGTCTGTTTTCCCCTTTATAATTCTTAAGCAACTTTCGTAAATAATATCCAAGCAAATTTCGTCGGGGTAAGGTACTCTCAACTTGGCTTTAGGTCGTGTGGCGTAGCGGCAAAGTGCTCGAGTCGGAACCGAGAGGTCCCGGGGGTTCGAGTCCTGACATGCCACCGATCTTGTGTCCTTTGGAAAGGCACTTTACACGACTTTCCTCACTTCGCTCAGGTGAAAATTAGTATTGTCATGTTCCGTATTTGTTCTCTATCTGCGTTGGTGACGGCATAAAATAAGTTGATATAACTTGAGTGTCCTGTCACTATGTCTAGTCATGAAATGTTGAAATGAAAGAAAAAAAACTAGCCAGGCTTGCATTTGGTTGGATAGGTATACGGCCAGCCGGCCAACTTAATACTAGTAATGCCGTCCCCCCGAAAAGATTTGCTTGGAGATTTCTTTCTTTATTACCCGTCTGTGTGCCGTCTGTTGACATGTTGTTGGTAGAAAATTAATGTCACTATTTGTGTTTAGCATGGGGGTCTATTTTGTTCATGTTATATCATTGTGAGTATGGATGTGTAGCCTTCATAACATGCCAAAAACTGGGGTTTTGAGGGTCTTCGGGGTGTTTGGGAGATTTTATGTGCTATTTTCTGATTGCACATGGACAACATAGCCGGCCGCGGCCTGATTGAGAACTGAGCTAATCAGAAAACAGCCAAAGACCACCAAACCCCCAGTTCTATAAGCCTGCTACAGAGGCTAATGAGGGCCTGCATGCCCTTTTTCGTAAGGCGTAATCAGGCATTTTTAGTCTTCGTAATCCGTAGGCAGCCTCCGCAAAAAATCAACGTAGTTTGTAATAGGACATTAGCCGCAAATCGTAAAGTCGTAATCAGCTCTGAGACTTTAACGTAATTCGTAATAGGCGGCGAAAATTTTGTGTAATTCGTAATCAGATAACCCCCATGCAGGCCCTTGCTAATGGATGTGCCCTGTTGGTGGCCTCTTTAAAAACCAGTCCATCCACATTAGGCTGTAAGAGAAGGTCGAATCCACATCACCTGATGTAACGTCATAACAATTATAGTCATTATATGGGAACACCCCTGACCTCAAATTAACCACACAGCTCGCACAACAGGTTAGGCCACACCAAGTAAATTTTATGGATGACGTCCTTTGGAGACCCTAAATCTAATGCGAGAGGGCTAGAAAAAAAAGGGCCCTAAAAACAAAATGCCTACATTAGAAATATACTTAGAGACGACAAATGTTAGGACACAAATTGAATGAGGTGACACATTGTAACAAGCAAGAAGTCTTTTATTCATCATCAAAACAGCAATAAATCAGGTGGAACAGCAGTTGTCCTCCTGTCCCGTTTTCGCGTTACGGGTTCCACGTCAATCTGACGATTTGCGGCACTGTCGTGACTCTTTGGTCATAGTTACAGGAAGCGGAATTTCTTGGGTTTTTTTCTAGGAACAGGCCAAAATCAATGCGCGCGCGGACGTCATCCATAAAATTTACTTGGTGTGGCCTTACCTCCATGAAAGAAGGAGGTATTGTGTTTGGTCTGTCTGTGTGTGTGTGTCTGTGAGTGTGTTTGTGTTCCAGCATATTGATAGTCAGCATTACTTCAAGAGTCCTGCATGGATTAAGTTGATATTTGGTATGTGGGAAGATCTTGGGAAGTCATTGTAGGGTTTAAGTGGCCATGTGGGACTCCTGGGACTCCGGTTTTTATATATTTTGCCCTGGACATGCTATGGTCTTGATTTTTGTTGCAGATAGCTTTTGTGTCAGAACAAGTGGTGTGGAATCTGTCCCCTGGCAGCTTGTTCTGGAACTTCAGGGTAGTAGCTATGTAGACGGTATTAGAGCAACAATTAAGTTCATAAAGGTAAAAATGAACATCCCAATTCATGATCATACAAATACAAATCATGGTCTTTATGTACGTCTTTCACAGAACAAATATGGCGTATCTGAGAAAAGTACGCTGTAAGAGCGTCTACCACAAGATGGGATTACACAACATGAGCCCAACAGTCATCAGCCACTTCGAGCCACTGAAGGAGAAGGTATCCGTACACAACCCAGCAGAGTTCTACCGACAGCACGGTCGGGACTACTGTGTGTGCTGTGCAGACTTCGACACCAAAGAACTCGTGCTGGTGAAGCCTACAGACGTATCTACAGTCAGGAAAGCACAGTTCTTTAACGAGGTAGAGATTGTTACTTCAGATCATTTTATTAACATGAAAATTAAAGTCCCCTTACCCAGTGTTATTATATACCGGTACTAACGGTTGGCTATGGCTATAGATGAGAACAATAGAAAAATGAACTTAGTAAGAATCTATTAAAAGCTCAAGTAAATGACATCGTACAGGTGTACATATCTAAAATTGTTTGTCTAACCTGCAAGGCAGCTTTTGCACAAGTTATTACAAATTAGACATTAAAATTTATTTGTGCTGATGGATCATATTTGTAGCCACCTCTATTCTGGCATTACTAGGAGAAAATAGACTAGGCAGCTAAAACAGTGTGAGTACCAGACTAGATGTAGAGTCAATTCTGCTTATAGTCTTCAAACTAATGCTATATTGAGCAGTTTAAGATTTGATATTCATGCCTTATTCCCTATAGGCCTTGCGGGAAAACGCGGAAGAACTTCTGGTTCTCCCGTTCTCTCAGCTGGCAGATGTGAGTGAAATGGTCGCCAATGACGTTGCGCACGTCACCATCATTTTTCTACACATATCAAGTAAGTTGAACTGTCCATGAAAACTGTCAAATTGACCACGGTTCATGTATTTCATTTATTTTTTTTATTTTTAATTTTATTATATATATATATATATATAGTAA